GGTGGGTGGGGAAAGCTAGAGGTGAGTATTCAGAGAATTTCCTTTTTTTTTTTTACAGAATCTCACTACGTAGCCCTGATGACCTGGAACTCACTGTGCAGACCAGGCTGGCCTTGAACTCACAGAGATCTGCCCGCCTCTGCCTCCTGAGTGCTGGGATTAAAGATGTGGCCACTAGGCCCAGCCTAGTATTGAGAGACTTTTGAGGGGCGGTCTATTATTCACTTTTCTTGTTGCTGTGATAAAGTACTTGGCGAAAGCCACTTAGGGAGGGGAGGGAGGGCTCACTGAGGCTCACAGTCTGAGGGGACACACTTCATCACGGCAGGAAGACATGGCAGCTACAAGCGTTCTCTGTAGTGGTAGAGGAATCTGCTCCCATCTGAGCAGATCAGAAAGTAGAGAAAGATCGGAGAGAGGGGTGGGCTATCAACCTCAAGGCCCCTCTGCAGTATCTTACCTCTTCCTGTTAGGCCCCACCTCCTGAGAAGGTCCCGCAGCATCCTCTCTAGACAGCACCAGCTGCTGGGCAGGAAGTTCACACATGTGAGTCTTGAGGGCACTTCACACTTAAACTCTAACAGGGGCAGAGAGAGAGGGAGGAAGGCATTCCAGGGGAGGGACTGTGTAATTGGCCTGACTGAGTAGGAGTTTGGGGTCTAGTTAGCAAGCAGAGGGTTTGAACTGTGAGGAACAGTGAGTGACACAGGATAGATCAGAAGATGAACCACGGCTCTAGGCACCCCGGAGAAGCCACTGGGTCAGAGGGAGCCACAGACAGCTCTTCAGTCTTTACTGAGAGCCACAGTGGGCCGGGTAGGAACTTGGACAATTCACATTTTTTTTTTATTATTGTTGCTTTTTTTTTTTTCCATACTGAGAATCAAATTCAGGCCTTGCATGTGCTAGGCACAGGTTCTACCACTGAGCTGTTCCCAGTCCTCAAATTTATTATTTTATTTGAAGTTCCTAGTAACCCCCGCTAGGTTGGTATCCATGTCCCCATTTTACTGACGAGAACGTGGAAGACAAGAGAAAGTGAATCATAGAATAAAGCCAATGTGGAGCTAAGAGCTTGGCTCATTCAGCCCCAACCCAATCTTTTCTACTGTAGCATATGGCTTTAAGCTGTTCTTACTTTGAGAATGTTTCCTACTGCCAAGCCAGGCCAGGCTCCAAAGCCGTTTTACAGAAACACCCTACACCCGCTCACTCCCCATTCCCACTCCCACCCCAGGCACACTCTGGGATCAGAGCCTCTTGGACTTTTGGATATCCCATGCCAGGGGAGGTGGAGTGCCAGGCCGTGGTCTGGTGGAAATGAATTCACATATTCCGCTGGCTCACAGATGCCAGCCCAGGAACAGGTTGAAGCCTTGAGTGGAAGTGACTGACATCTGAGGAGATAAAGTTGCAGGATGTCTGTAGTCACGTCAGTGTATGGCGGTGGGGGTCGGGGAGGACTGGGGAGGGCAGAGAGGAAATTAGACTACCCATGGGTTGACAGTTATTGAGGCTAGATGAGGGGTCACGGGAGTCCACTACACTGTTCCTCCTAACCTCTGTGTTTGGAAAATCTCCATAATAAAAACTTAGATACCTCAGAGGACGCCCCTTCCCCAGTACCCCACCCTATACCAGATAAGTCAATCTCTGCTTTTGGGCTCTGTCCTATTTAAAAATCTCGGGTAGGGGCAGCCAAGGTGAGAATCCTACTTAGACTCCATTTACACTCAAAAACCTCAAGGTGGAGTCCTGTCCAGCCTCAGCCTCTTCATTTGGAAAAAGGGGTCAAGATTCTAACAGCCCCACGGCGGTGTTGTGAAGGTTAGATAGGGTGAAAGGTAACAGATGTGAGTGAAGGTTAGATAGGGTGAAAGGTAACAGATGTGAGGTCACCGCCCACAACAAGGACACTGGGTCCTTCGGCATCTCCACCCGAGGGACGTGTGTTGGATAGATTTGAATATTGAAACAGCACGGGCTTTGCCCTGTGGCCTTACCATTGGCTTCCTGGACTTTGCCTTAGTAGTTTCTCCATGAAAGACAAGTGGAGGGACCTCAAGGGGCTCCTGTGGAAGCTGGCGTGGGGGCGCACGCCTTTCATTCCAGCACTCGGGAGAGGCAGGTAGATCTAAGTGAGTTTGCCGCCAGCTTGGTCTACAGAGCGAGTTCTAGGACAGCCAGGAGAAACTCAGACCGACAGACAGAAAAAAAAAAAAAAAAAAAAAAAAAGGCTCCTGTGGGCTGTCTCCGGGCCTCACCCCAAAGGACCCTGGGTCCCTCACTGTATCTCCGCTGCCTGCTTCAGGCAGGAGACGCTGCTTGCAAAGTGAAGATCAGGCCGGACAAGAGGGACCTGCTGAAGCCTTGAGAGTGGCAGTGGGAGTTTTTCAAGAATAGGAGGGTCCTGGGAAGCCTGGAGCAACCCTTGGGAGACGGGAAAGGAGTGTGTGTGTGTGTGTGTGTGTGTGTGTGTGTGTGTGTGTGTGTGTGTGTGTGTGTGTTCGCACAACCCGCAGAACTGGAAGCTACAAAGGGTAGGTAGGAGAGGAGCAAGGAGATGGTTCGCAGCAAGTAAGGGGTGAGGAGTGACAGGGAGGGGACCCCTGAAAGCAGGAGAGGTGAAGGCGGCTTGGGGTCCTGGGATGACCGCCCAGTCGGAGGCCTTTGGACTGGCCTGGGTTCCCGGTATTTTCCCGGGAACTGTTGGGATCCGCAGCGCCGCCTGGTGGACACGCTCGCGGTGCAGGCTCCAGAGGCTGACGTCGGGCGCAGGGGCTCTGTCCCCTGCTGCCGAGAGAGGGCTGAGAAGGGGAGGAGGGGACCGCTCCAGGATGCCGCGGGGAGGGGCCTGGGTCTCTCCTGGGAGGCTCGAGAACCGGGCCCACCCCGCAACACATACGGGACACCCTGCATCCTTTTGCTCTGTGCAGGAGTGACTTGGCCCATCCCACATGTCGGGGAATCCTTCCTGCCCCTAGCCCTGAAGCTCTGGAATTCTGCTGCCTAACTTCTCCCGGAAGAGGGTCTCATTAAAGTTTTTAAGAGGTTTTATTTTGATTAATAAAATGCCAGGAAGGGGGCATGAAGGCCCGAACGTCCCAGTTGTCTTCCCGAAGGTCCCAGGCTTGAATTCCAGAAATGTTTAGGCCTTCCCTGTTTGAACGGGTTCTGGCGGGAAAGACGTAGTGGCCCAAGGACCCCTGCCCAATGCAAAGCCATGGTGGGAGAAGCCTGTGGCTCCCAGTGCCAGCGCCCTGTGGCTGGTGCTGGTGAGAGGTTAGACAGCGGCCTGGCTTTCAGATCCTACGTCACGGGCCCTGGGGTCTGGGCGCTCTGGTGGCATCATCTCCTCCCCAACCTGGTGGTGGTGGAGTTCATCCAAACACCCGGGGATGGTGAGCCATCGCGTGCTCAGGAGTTCTCGAGAAGCCCAGGCCAGCCTAATGTCTCTCCTCCGGACCAGAGCGGCAGTAGGGCCGCATTGTTCCTTCTACAGCACCAGCTCCGGTGCCAGGGTCTCAGGCTGCCAGGCTGCACCCTCCGGGGAAGCAGCAGGGAGGCCAGAGAGTCTTCACGAAGTCTGCTCCGGCGGCCTTCGGGAGGCGGCCGGGTCCGCTCTGCGTGCCACCCGGGAAAAGGTCCCGCAGCCGTTAGACTGGTGCTAAGGAGGAGGATGGGAAAAAAAAAAATCTCAAAAGCCGCCAAGTCCTGTGTAAATGGCACCCGGGCCCGGGTGGCTGTCCCACACAAGGCCTGAAGTGGAGGGTAGACTCTGTGCGTGCCCCAGAGGTGACAGAGAGAGCTGGTGCCGAGGGAAGCCAGAAGCTCGGGGAACCCAGAAAGGCCTGACTCCAGGAGGACGCTCTCTGGGGTGCGCGCTCCGGGCCGCTACTCTCTGGTCCCAGGATCCCACCAAAGAGCGACCTGGGCCCAGAGTTCCTAACAGCTTTACAGCTTCAGCCAGAGCCTCCTGGTCCCGCTGTGACCGGGGCATTCCTGATGCTGTTCCGCCCTTGCTTCTGGCTGCCGGGTGGTGAGGCTCAAACTGCGGAGAAGGGAGAGCTCCGCAGGGATCCACACCCGGATCCTGCCTGCGCCGATGCCCCAGAACAGCACCGATTCGCTCCCTCGAGGCGGAGCGGGACCGCCAAAACCTTTGCTCCGCGGAGTTGAAAAGGGGCTTCTTCCGGGTTCCTAGTCCGGGAACGCACTCTTGCAACCCCAACTGGGCTACCGCACCCGCTGCGGAGCGATCGGACAGGGAAAACCAGCCTCGGTGCAGGCCTGCCACACGCCCCGATTCCCGCAGGAGGAAGGAGCCACCGGGGTGGGGGTGGGCAGGGTGTGAAGGGGTTTAGGGTAATTCAACTACCTCTAGGTTAAAAAAGAAAAGAAAAGAAAAAAAAAAAAGCGCAGAATTCACTTTGTTCCCGAGGGATAAGGAGGTCCTTCTTGCTCTCTCCAGGTCAGCAAATGCCTCCCTATCCCCGCTCGTCTATTTGGGCCGCCGGCCCCGAGCCGGGGAGGCTTGCAATGTGAAGAGGGGAACAGACAGGCAGTCACGCGTCCCCGGGGCTCTGGCCCCGCCGGACGAGTCTCGGCTTGTTCAGCTCTCTGCACAAAACGAAACTCAAACGCCTCCCCCCCCCCCAAGAAAACCTTAAAAGAGGAATTTAACAAAAACCAAAGCCTCTATTTTCCCTGCTTTCACTTTTCACAAACCAGCTTCCGAGAGATTTAAATAAAAACGAAATGAGCAATTAGCTAAGGATACTATCTTTCCCATACTGTGGAGTCTCTCTTGAAAAACATTTTTCCCCAAGGCCAACCATTCAGCTGGCCAGCCCTTCTGAAGCCCTAGCCTATTCAAGAAAATCACAACAAAGCAGTAGGAAATTCAGCCACGATCCTGGGCAGAAGGTAGCAGGGAGGTCCCGGGAACCCGCAGCGGCCGAAACCGCTTTAACAAAGGTAAAAAATTTTAAAAAAGATAATAAGAAGTAAAACCTTTTAATACATCAAATATACGGAATTTTAATCTTTAAAGCGATACATTGTCTATTATTTTAGCACATGACGTAAACCTTGTCCCCTTCTCAGCGGGTGGACTTAAAAATTAAAAATAGTTGTGTTCCTTTTAAAGAACAAAATAAGGCAAATGAGGTTTTGGAATAGAATTGTTTTTCCTTTTTTTTGTTTTCTTCCAGAATACATACAAAAAAATACCCATTCTCTTTCGATGGTATACACCTTAAAAATAATTGCAATTTGAAATCAGAGTTGACAAATTGTGACTTATTTTGTTTCGTCTTTTTCTTTTTTTTGTAACAAACATGCATGTAAATTTGAGTTTCAATCAGACATTAAATAAGAACGCACAATACAATCATAGCAATTTTAAAGTAACATTAAAGAGAAGACCCTAGTTCTGTAGCGGTTTTGTTTTTATTTATACTCTACAAGGGATGGGAGGGTTTGTTTCCCACATATTTACCCTCGAGTTTTAATTTTTTCCCCCTCCTCCTTTTAACCTACGGAGCTCAAACTAAATAATGCACTTTTGAACCACGGGTCCGCTTGGAGCTAACATAAATAAATACCAATGTTCACCGGCGAAGTCCTCAGATGAACACTTTCTCAATTATTTTTCCTTCTTTTTCTATAAAAAGTCAAATGATTTTTTTTTTCAACTTTTATAAAGTTTGGGTGGGGGGAGCTAAGGGTGGAGGAGACGAGTTTCCCATTCCAGGCTCACTCGCTGGCTGTTGGTGGTGGGTAGGTAAGATTTAGGCTTTCTTTTCCCTTCCCGTAGCCCGGCTCTTCCGCTCCTGCAGGCGTCAAGGAACCTCGCCCGGCTCCTGCCCCTCCCTCGGCTCCTCCCCTCCCCCAGCTCCTTTCTCTCCCTCCAAATTCCTCCGGGCCGCCCTCACTGATACCCCAGCGCAGAGGCAGTGGTCAGTCTCTGTCCGTAGAGGGCGTAGGGGGAGTAGTAGGGTCCGGTGGCAGCGGGCACCGGCACTGGGGCACCGGGCGTGGGGAGCGGGCTCTTGGAATAGGGGTGGTAGCGGCTGCTGAGTCCCAGTGCATGGTGGGGGCTGCGCAGCGCCAGGGTCCCCGGGCTGCCTGGTGCGCCCGACGTGGGGATGTGCATGTGACAAGCCATGGCTGCTGCGGCGGCGCTGGCGAGAGACGAAGAACTGGGGTAGCCCGACAGCAGTTTGTCTGTCCCAGGAAAGGCCGTATGGGTCCGCAAGTGGCTCAGCAGCTCTTCGGACGTGGCGAAACGCTTGTCGCACGGCCCATTAGCTGACACCCAGTTGCAGATGTGGGGGAGCGGGTCGTTAGGGAGCATGAAACCATAGGGGTAGAGGGGGTGGCCGGCCAGGGAGGGTGGTGTGGCGCCCGCAGCGGCGGCAGCGGTCAGCGAGGAGTGCACACCGTGCAGTGGGTGCGTGGGGTACACCAGTGGGTATCCCGATTTGAGCGCCGCCGCTGCAGCGGCCGGATCGTGCGCGCACGAGGCGCTGGCGGCCGCAGCTCCGGCCAGGTGGCTGGCACAGTGGTAGCTGAGGCAGTATGGGTCCCGGCACAAACTGGCTGTCATCACGGACGGTGGCGACGCCCCGGCCAGGGGACTCGAACCGGCTGGCTTGCTGCAGCCAAGGGAGCCGGCTGCGGCCGCCGCCAGCTGAGCCCCGACCAGGCTGCCAGGCTTGGTGGGGTCGAGCGCCACGCCGTGTGGCAGGAACTGGGGTGGGTAGCCAGCGTAGGCCCCAGCCAGGCTGCCTGGGTAGGTCATGCCCGCGGGGGGTAGAGGGAACACCGTCTGGCCCGGTTTGTAGGGAGACACGGGAGCCACCAGCCCAGAGCCCAACACCGACGACGAGGTGGGCGCGCTGGGGCCCGAACCGGAGCTGGAGCCAGAAGAGCCGCCGCAGTCCGAGCCTAGAGCCTTGCCCCCTGGACCCCCGTCCGAGTGCTGGTTCACATCCACGTTAATTCCGCCGCCGCAGCTAATCCGCCCGTGTGCCAGCCCCGCGGGTACCCCGTCCGCCGAGGAGCCCCCGGCGCCCTTACTGCCACCACCGCCGCCAGTTTCCGGATCTTTCTTGTCGTCCTTGCCCTCCGGGCCGCCCCCGGCGGTGGGCAGCATGCCTCCCGGCGAACAGGCCGAGGCGCTGGAGCTGGGACTGCCTGTCCTGGGCGTAAATGGCTGGCAGGTGGCGCTCGGTACCCGGAATCCCGACTTCTCCGCAGAAACACCCCCGCCGCCGCCGCCGCCGCCCCCGCCGCCTCCACCGCCGCCTCCCGGCTCCTTCTTATCGGAGCCAGGCTTGGAGTAAGGCTTGAAACTCGACTTGTCTTCCACGCCGATGTCGCTCAGTTTCAGGGGGCCCGACTTGGCGTCCTTGTCGCCCCCGGCTCCGCTGCCTGCGCCACCCGCGCCGCCCCCGTTGGAGGCGACCGAGGAGAGTTTGGAAGAGGGCGAGGGGTCGGGCTTCCCTATCTGCGAACATGTTTGCGCCAGCAGCGCCAGTGGGCTCTTCTTGGCGTCCAGCTGCGGAATCAGACCGGGGAGGGGGGTCACACAGAGAAAGAAGGGGACACCCTTTAGAATTTTGGCTTTAAGGTTCCAACGCCCTCCGTAATAGCCCGCGAAAAGCATCTGAACTTTCAGGAGCAATTCAAAGTGGCACCCCGCTCCACATTCACCCGCAAAGATTCTCGTCCTTGGGAAAGATGCCAGACCCCCCCCCCCCCACCGCTCTAGGATCCTTCCTACATTCTTTCAGCACTACTTAGATTTGGAAACAATCTCTTGCAAATGTTTTAGTTTTCATCTCCTTAGACCCAGATCTGTACCCGCTTCCCGGCACACACTCCTTGATTCTAAAGAGTAAGGGCTTGAGCGGTTGGCGCCTCCGAGGCTGTGTAAATATACTAGCTTCTGGAGAGACGGAGGAAGGCGACTTTGGAACAGTCAGTATTCAGGCCCTTGTCCGCCTAGGGGCCGATGGCGGAGAGCTAGGTCCATAGGGGCTTTAATCCAAAAAGGACAAGTTTGGATGGCTTTGCCCCTTAGAATTTACACCCCATTCCACCTCGTTGCCCTTTCGGACTAAGGGGTGAGGAAGCACTATCCTGTTCTCCCATCCTGGAGCTGAATCACTCAGACCGTGCCCACCCTCCCCCCACCCCCGCGCCGCGCGCCCCAGATCCCATGGGAAAGAAACCCCACAGGAAGGCGACCCTGGTAGGGGGTCCCAGCTGGACCCTGACAGAAGGTCCTTACCTCGATGGGGCTGACGGGCGTGGAAGGCAGGGGTTGCAGATACTCTGGATGCAAAATGTGGCCAGTCCGTGCCGTCAGCATCTTCAGCACCTTGATGGGCAGGCGGTTAGCCTGGCGCAGGGGGTCAGAAGGGGGCACGGCGTGCACAAAAGGCTTGGTGCTGCCGGCCGGGGACGAGCCTGGGCCGTGGCCGGAGCAATTTCCAGAAAGCGCGCTGGTCCAGGCAGGGTCCGCACTGCCACTACTGCCGCCGCCGCCGCCGCCGCCGCCGCCGCTGTGCTTACTGCTTCTTAGGGCAGAAAGCGAGGGCGCTGTGCTCATGACCCACCCGCGCGCATGGGAGCAGCGGGGGGAGGGCTCCGGGACGCGCGGGGCGGGCTCGGGGCTGCGCGCTCGCCCAGGGAGCGGGAGCAGCTGGAGGAGGAGCTGGCTCGGCGGACGCGGGTGCCCCCGCGAGCCTTCTCGGAGCCCGGAGCCAGAAGCGAATAATCCTGGGTGGCCCGCAGGGGAGCCGTGGCGGGGCTGGAGGAGCCGGGTGGACTGCGGGAGTGCCCCGCGGTGCGCGGTGTCTGCCTCGGGCTGCGCCCTGCGCTACGCTCTCCCGGCCCCGAGCCGGCGCTGCACTCTGCGATGCGAGCCGCTGCTTGTCCAGCCGAGGCTCTGGCGAGGAAACTCACTTCAAAAGCAGCTGCACCGAGGGGGAGATTAAAGCCTTTGCCGCCTTCCAATCAAATGGGAGCCCGAGGTGATTGGAGGGTCAAGGGGATGTGACGCGTCCCGCGCCGCCGCCGCCGCCGCCGCCAGGACTCTCCGAGCTGGTTTTAATGGGCAGCTCCCTCTTTGCCGCCCCTCGGCTTGTCCCCTCCCTCGATTTCGCTACCCGTACGAGATGGACATTTATTCTACGTTTGCCATCTACCGCCTTCCTTCTTTTTCCTCCTCGTCGTTCTTCGTTTTCCCCGCTGGAAAAACAAACTGAAACCTTTGGAGGGAGGGAGTGCGTCTGAGTTAACAGACTTCGGGCGGGTGTTGAGAAGAAGCACCGGCGGGAGTGTGGATACCAGCTGAACGCTCAACTCCAGGGATGCATAGGGGGTCCTCGCACCAATTTTTTTTTTCAGTAATTGAGATCTCGCGTGGTGCGGCCACCCGGGTAAGGAAAGGTGGAGAGCCGATGTCGGAGGAAGTCTGCCCGACCGCTTGGATTTCCTGAGATTGCGCAGCAGAGAAACCAGAAGCTAGAAGGGCAATGGAGGCGGCGGCTGCTAGTCCAGGCGACGTGCGCGGGGCTCTCCGCCTTTCTTGGTCACGTGACACCCGAGGACGCTCAGATTGGGGCAGGAGCGGGGGTCACATGTTTCCCCTGTTTCACACTCAGTCCTCCCCATTCTTGCTCTCTGCTACCCTCTCTTTCCCCCCACCCCCAGTTTCTCTGGGCATCTCCACCCCTCCATCAATTGTCAATGTGCCTCGACCGCAATCAATCAGTTATTTGTCAGCTCTTGTCAATCTGCCCGTGATTTATGTCAGCTTTTGTTGCTGATTACAAGGCGGGTGAGACTTGAAGGGAAAAAAGAGAGACCGAGAGTGAGACAGAGGAAGGAAGAGACCGAGAAGGAACTGAAGGAGGGGGAGAGAGGAGCTGCCTCCTGGGGTGTGTGTGTGTGTGTGTGTGTGTGTCGAGGAGGGGTGTAAGAAAAAGAATGAAAGGGGGAAGAGGCGCCCACCGTCAGGAAAATGAAATAGTGAGAGTAAAGTGCGCAGGTGCACCCAGGACGCCGATCTCGGTCGCACCGGCCTGGGGTGTGCGCCTTCCCTCCTCGTGTTGGAGAGACCGACGCATCCTCCACCTTGGGGTGCTTTGGTCAATCCGGATCGCAGAGTTCGGGGCTGCTTGGTACCTAAGAACGGCGGTGGAGACGACGTCTAACACGGGAGCTTTCCCGCCTCTCTGGGATAATCCCTCCCGGGCATGTAACTTGAGGATGTCCGGCTGCCGCCCTCGGTAGTGTCCCGACCCCTAACTCAGGAACCTCTTTCCAAAGAGCCACACCACCAATGTAGCCCGAGTCCTAGAGGTTACTGATGGGGTAACCCTCCTTAATTCTGTGAACCCGGTTCGTAGCGCGGCTTGAAAAGCTCCAGAGAAGAGGCCTGGCCGTGTGCTCAGGCAAACAGGTCTCAGGCTCGCTCTTTTCCTCTCCCGGGTCCTTCGCCACTACTCTCCGCGCGCCATCCCGACAGTCCAGGGAGCCGGGATGACCCGGGGCTGCTCGACTAAATAAAGGGGACCGTCCAGACAGGACTGACCTGTGCCGGGAGAGGAGAGGGAAGGAACGCGAGAGGGAGGGGCGGCTGCCTGTGAGAACCGGTTCTTCCAGGGAAGCGGAGCGGGACTGCGGCGGCGTTCCCCTCGATTTGCGCCGTCACTCGGGCTGTTGGGAAAGAAGAGGGAGGCGCTGTGCGTGCCGCCTTCTACCTGGATCTGGGCGCACAGTGTGTATGCACTCCTGTGCCGCTGGGCGAAGTCTCTGGACTTCCGTAACGTCCGGAGCTAGTTCGAGGGTCACCTCCAGAAACTCGTAGAAAGTAGAAGGGGGTGAGAGGACACACCCCCTTCCTCCGAGGGACTTGGGAGACTTCGAATTCCGCCCCCCCCCTTTTCCGCAAGGCTCTTCTTTTGTTGTCAAGTCCTTTTGATAAATGGTGGGGCTGGGAGCCCTGGGAGCCGGGAGCCGATCTGTGCCCTGCGCAGGGGCGGGGGCCGAGCCTGGAGACCGGTTTCCGACCATCGCGCACCCTGATCTGAACCGGGTACTTTCAGGGGTCCGGTTGGGGACTTCCCTCCCGCTTGCTAGCCCATTCCTCTCCTACCACCCCAGTCCCTCCCCCCACCTTTTTTGTCTCCCCACTCCATGCGGGTAACGAGAACTTTCTGGGGCGGGGATGAGTTTTAGAATTTTCTCGTAGGTATTCTTTCACGCCGTTTTGATTTTATTCCTTGATTCCTTAGGTTGGCAAAGTTAATGAGCTGGTAACTCGATTAATGCTAATTTGGAGAGGAGAGGTGGTTTGTGCTTGGGGCTGGTGTGCGTGCGTGCATGCGTGTGTGTGTGTGTGTGTGTGTGTGTGTGTGTGTGTGTGTGTTAAGAACACCTGCACTCAGGAAGGTTTGTGGTGCCTCTGCGACAATTGAGGAAGGTAAGTCTGTGAGACCGTGGCAAGAACACACGCAGAGTTGTGAAGGTCCCCTGAATAATCCCTGGAGACAAGAGTCCCAGAGTACAGTTTGCCAGGGTGGCAGCTCCAAACTCTCTGCCGGGCAATGTGTCTGAAGCCATTTGTAGCCTGCGGGTGTTAGTGCCTGACAGCGTCACCGATTGCATGGCTGTGAAGGTGTCGCCTCTGGCCAACTACTGTGGTCCCAAGCGTAGTAAGCTCGGTCTTGGACTGTCTGCCATTTTGGCCTCTTCGATAGGCCTGGACATCGGAAGCTGGCGCTGTGGAGAGAACTAAGGGTAGCCGGAGCACAAGCCTGGGGCGTCCTCAGTGTGTCCCCTTTTCCCCAGTTCCAGTAGTTTTCGTATTGCATTGGGCAGTTCAAGGGAGGCCGCCCCAGCGCTTCAAGCCTGGTGGAACTGTGGAATGGCTCTTGCTCCACAACGATTACATGCGCTCATGGGTATGCGCGGTGTTCCGTGAGCTCCGGCCCTTGGCTGCCTGCGTTTACTTGGCTCAAAACTCAACTCTGCAGGTCGGAGCTCGCGGGGGGCGCCTAGGGGGTCTGCGTTCCACCGGCTTTCGGGGGGGGGGGACACCATCATCCGAGCCCGCGCACTTCTCATGGGAGGCCAAATCCCCGAAGGCCGGCGCAAGCTATGTAGGTGGGGGGTTATTAATTACTCCAGGCTAGGCCTAATACCTCCAACCCTCTGAGGTGGTAGGCATGGATGTCCTGCGGATTTTATTTGCACACAATGGACATGATTTGTTTTCTCTTAAAAAAAAAAAAGGTGTGGGCATGGCAGATATTTGAGGAGGTGGAGGAGAGAAGGCGGAAAGGAAGAGAGCTGAGGAAAAAAGTTTGAAAATGCCTTGAACTATTCACTGTCGAGATGGCTAATCAGTACTGAGGCCGGAGGGCAGGCGGGCCGCCTTTCACCGCCGCTTCCCTTTCATCTCTGGCTCGGCGGAGGCGCTCAATTAAAAGCCTATCAGTTTGTAAGTAAATCAACGCCTATCAGAGTTGTCACATCAAACAAAACGATTATTATTGCAGCCCGCCTCCCCTATTAATCTCCCTCGAAGATAATCCGCCTGACAGGTCAGGCCCGGCGAGCTGGAAAGCCTGGCCCAGAGCGCCCAAAGAGTCCCGGACTGGCATATGCCCCCAGGGGTCTCTGCACCCGGGTTCGGTTCCACCCAGCAATCCCCCGCCCCCCAACCCCCAGGGGTGAGGGAAAGAGCAAGTTGAGGCCGCTGGACCCAGATCCTTCCGACCAGACTATAATTAGGCCTGAGATTCCCGGAGCCACTGAGGTGATGGACATGCTTGAGCCTAACAGCTTTCCAAACCAGGAGGCTTGGGGAGGAACGGGACATGGGACATGTGGCCTCGCTTATTCCTTGGACCTCGCCATGGCCTGCACTCTTCTAGGTTCGCCTCTTTGACTCTGTTTATTTTAAAATTTCCACTCTCTCTTCTCCTTTTTGTTTCCATTACAGTTTTCTTTTTTTTTTGACTCTCTGAACCTGAACCCTTCATTTCCTCTCTCCTTTCCTTTCTCCGATTTGTCCGGGATTATTTTTTATTGTACCCTCCCAATGTCTAAACCTCTATGTGGTAGTCATATTCTCTGGAGTAGGGCATTCTCAGGGCCCGGGTTATTTCTCCCGCGGCAGTGTGTGCCAGCCACAGGATTTCCTGCCTAAATGCCCCCTGGTTTCTTCCCCAAGCAGGGACTTTTAGAGGCCCTTCACCCTCTTAAGGATTCTGTGCATTTGGGGACAAGGAAGTAATTCAGCCAGTACAGGATAGTTACATGTGTGTGGACTGTTACAAACCCCTGTTTTGGAATTAGTATTTTGCCTCGGAATTTCACAGTTCCATCCTTGTTGACCTGGCCAATAGCCTCTCGGGGCTTTGCAACTATCTTAAGCCCCACAGGGCATTGGGATTTCAGCACGTAGTGTGGGAAGGAGCGCCTAAGATTTCTTAAGCAAATACTGCTTCCATGGCCTCAAACTAGAGTCTCAAGGACTGGGTGGGGTTTGGCTTCTGGACTCCAGAATAGTGGCCTTCTTCCTGGTGTTTCTGGCTTCCCACTCTGGTAATGTCTTGGAATTGAGCTCCACCCACCCTTCTCTAGTTTATGCTCTTGTCCCAACTCAGACCCAAAGCCGGACTAAGCCAGGACTGAGAGCTGATTGAAGTGTCTGACGGGAGAGGGCTCTTGGAGGGACCCCAGGGCCTGCTAGTTTAAATGCCAGCTCTTCTCTAAGACACTGTCTGAGGTCTACGTCCACAAGAACCCCAAAAGTACTCAGCAGTTGAACATCCACACCGAGCCTTTGCAAGCAGCAGCAACCCTTCTGGGATTGAAGGCGGTCACTGTCCAACAAAACCTACTGCAGACTTCTTGGTGCACCGGGCTACAGGATTGGGGGTCCTCACATAAGCCTCCCCAAAGCGCCTCAATTTGTACTCACTCTCCAGTCTTATGAAAATAATTTATTTATAAACCTAGAAATACTGTATATTCACATATATATGTGTATATACGATGCACTGTGGCTCAGTTACCTGCTGGCCTGCTTTTCTTATGCATTTATTTACGTCACCTTCACTGAGCTACAGATACTTAAGAGCTATAGACAGGACACTCCTCAACTCTGGCTGTAGGAAATATGCACTGGGTGGTTATTTAGACATAAGTTCTATCTTGGGCCCTGATGACACCCAAGCAAGGGATGTAAAAAATCCATCACATGTAAAAACAAAACAAAACAAAAAAAACAAAAACAAAACCCTGCTTTATAATTTTCCCAACATAATTATATGTGCACGCATTTAGAATTTAAGAATATTTTTTTTTTATCCGATAGATCTCAATTTCCAGACGTGTTGTGTTATGTGCCCCAGAAGCCAGAAGCAATAAGCGGTGTTGGTACTGAGCGCGGAGACGTTTGTGCAATTTTATCCTCATATGGATAAAACTTACACATGACTATATAATAAATTCAACCTTGTCATTTTTAGAATCGACAGGATATCTCTGGCAGTCGTTAGTGCTACCTCCTTAAACCGAGTAAGTCCGTCCGACCAGTAGGCATCCAACTGGAAATGGCTCCTGGCTGGCATGTCCCCGTGAGCCTCGGCTTAGTCACAGGCTCGAGATGGCTCCCCAGGCCCAGGAAGCAGTGGATCCAGCCCCACGGTTCTAGTGGCGCCCCCAGGTTTCGTGGCCTCTCTGCGGTGCTGGGCCTAGTAGCCCCCATCTCCGCTTAAGCTTCAGAAACGTACAGGGTTTCTACAGGGCCGAGTCCGCCCCTAGCGAAAACTGAAAGCAAATTCCGCCGCAGTCTGAACTTTGCTTCTCGAAAGTTTTCTCCAGGGAATCAGTGGCGACTTTAGGAGGACAGAGTTAGTGTGAACACAGGAGTGAGGGACCGGGGTGGCCTAGCTTGGCTAGAGGCGAAGTGGAGGCGCCCCTCCTTTCTAATTTCTGCTACTCCTTGGTGCCCACCTCCCGCCCCGGGCCAGATGATATCAAGTGTTTTCCAAACTGCTGCAGAGGTCCAGCATGGGCTTCTCTAGCTCCCACCGGGGGTTACAGGAGAAGCAGCTTTTTAAGAGCTGTACAAAGCCTTGCCCAGAATCCTCCGCCTGATTTTCTCCATCTTGAGAAAATTTGAGACCAGATCACCTTTTGTGGGGGGGAATGTTTAGAAGTCATTCTGAGCAGTCCCTTGCCCAGCTCTCTGCCCTAACTTCGAACCAGAGTTTATGAAACCTGGGGCCACCTGCGCAGCAAACCTCCAGCTCTGCGCCCCTGTCCTCGGATGAGGGCGTAAGCAGGGCTACTTATGGATCGCCTCGGCTTCAAGCTCTGAGAAAAGCTTGCCTCGAGAGAATGAGTGAGTGTGTGGTTCCCACTCACACGTGGTTGCTCAGACCCTTCTAGCCAGGTGATCCCCTAACTCGAGGCGCTTCCCTTAAGATCCGTGGATTTGGGGTCCGGCAAAGGTGTAAACAGTGCTCTTGGACTCTGGCGGGGGCTACTGCCAGTCTCTCGGCGGGGCCTGTCCCCGGGCCGGCCGTAGTGGGTGAGTGATGAGGGCAGAGAAGGGCGCCCATAAATCGCGAGTGTCAGGGCGAAAAACTCTCTTTATTGTCTGCATGATGGATGGGCCCGGGGACGAGACACCAAATACTTCGTATCGCCTTTAAATGGGAACACATTTTCCGTGGCCATAATTCATGTTTTTTAAATAGAAAGTTTGAAATGTTGCCTATATTTCACCGGCCCTGACATATTTATGAATCGTTCCTTGCATGCAAATATCATTATTTAAAACGACCGGGAGAGCGCGGGGGAGGGGAGGAGGCACCCCTCCCAAGGGGGGGGGGCGTGGGAGTGGTAAACCCGAGACCTGTAAATGGAGGGGGTCCATCTCCCTAAAGGGCAGATAATAGGGCGCGGGGGGGGGGGGGGGGGGAGCTGTGTCTGGAAGCTGAGCACACCCTGGGGCTTGCCTCGCTCCTTCTGACAACATTGCTAGGCCTCCTGGAGAAGTCTGCTCGGTTTGGGACCAAGTGCAAGCTTCTTAGTCTCCTGCGGGGGACCCCGAAGATAATTTGGATCCCTCTTTGAGGCCGGGATCAAAGCTGAAGCCACATTTTCCAAGAAGGAAGTTAAAAAAAAAAAGAGTTTAACAAACACAAGTAATAGTAATAATAACAACCCAACATGTTTCGTGTTCTTTGCCACCGCATCGATTTTATTGATTTTCATTCTGCAAACCTGGGACTGTGCGCACCCAGGCGGGGCGTTTGTCAGTATCCAGTCACCGAGCGGAGTGGGTGGGGGACAATCCTCGGGTGTCACCGCTCGGCCCCCCCCCCCCCCCATCTACACAGCTCAACATCTCCCAGGCACGACGGAGGCTGCGCAAGACGCGGGGGACAGAAATGACCCGGCCCCCACGCTGGAGGGCTTCAGTCCCGCCCCTTCGATCTGCCCAGCTCTAGCACCGCTCCTGGGCTGCGCATTCTCTCTTCACACCGCTGTCCGATCAATACAGTCTCTTCCCCTCTCCTTTTCTTCACTCTCTCACAGTTGCCAGAGTGCTTGCCTGGCATATATGAAACCTTAGAAGGCCTGAGCTCAGTCCCCAGCACTCCGCGCCCCCCCCCCCCCCCCCGCCCCGGGCAGGCTTGCCCGGGAGGCGCCCACACCTGCGCCCACACTTTACCTGTGCGGTTCCCAGCGGCGCCAGCGGCCGCGCGGATAACCGGGAAAGGGTGGGGAGGGCGGGAAAGTGGGAGGGACAGGGAGCAGCCAGTAGCGCCGAGCCAGGATCGCCTCTCTAGACCCGAAGCAGGGGTGCCGGTGTAAGTCGAATTGCGCTGGAGCGATCAGGCCCGAGGATGGGCGAGGGTGAAGCGGCTTGCTGAAAAAGGGGCGGGCCCAGTAGCACTTCCGCCGGGGTGGGGCTGCGGGGCCGACCCGAGGCCCCGCCCCCTGTCGCGTCGACCCGCCCCTTACTCCAGCC